GGCAAGAAGAAGTGGCATGACAGGACGAACATACCGTAAATACCGAGTAAAACGAACGTTGGCAGCACGGGTGGTTGGGGGGGGGGCACCTCCTACTACTACTACTACTACTACTACTAATACTACTACTACTACTACTACTACTACTACTAATTACCAGTGTCGCACGGGTGCGGTGGTAAGCTGCGTCACTAGCGAATCTAGGCCTACTCGGGATATCGCTTGATTTGGAGGAGCCTCTTTCACTGCAAGGCGCATTGGAAATATCGACACATACTAGGGAACCCACGAGAACGACAGACAGAGCATCGACCTACCATCAGTACTGATACTGCAAACTCAGGCTATCTGCACCTTGTGGCAGGCTCGGTTGGACGCACGGCGCTTCGCAGCAGCACGGCTGCCAGCTGCCTTCGAACAGTTTCATGTCGTGCCTCACCGTTTCAGGGGGGTCGAGAAAAACTACTCGAAGCCTGCAAGTGTCGCCCCATGGTTTTAGAAACGACACCTCAAATCCATCCAAATCCTGGACCGTGATTGCGCCTGGCGGCTCCAGGTGCAACCTCCGAATGTGTTACCGCAGCGAAATGCCTGAGACTGACGTGAGGTACACTCCCTGATCATCGTTGTTTGTCCTGATTCCTACTGTATCAAGAACAGCATGTCTTTTATCTAGCTAGCTGTTTTTCCGACGGTTCCCGTTAACAACTAGCACTGGTATTGTCAAGGTTATGACGGCGGCAATTATGACATTTGGCGTTGGTCATATGCAAGATTCTTACGGCAAGTAGTCCTTCCGACATTCACGAGCGCTTCCCCGATCCCTGCAATCCGAGGGGCACAACAGCCTGCGCCGGCGAATCCTGCAATGTCCTCAGCAGGTACCTGACGAGGTTTCGGGCTTGGTTCTTTCACATTCGGAATCAGCCAGATGAGGTTAACAGGTTACAAGATTTTTCACTCTTGCATCAGGGGCAATCCACTGATCTAGTCTTGTCTCGTCCGGGGTTTTTCTGAGCTGGCACTCAGCTCAAGCGTGCAGCCGACAGCCTCATGAAAATCGTCCGCGAAGCTTTCATCGTTCAGCAACTGCTGCACCCCAACCGACACAGCAACGTTCTCCACCTCAATCGCGAGTGCATGAACCGCAGAAGTGAGAAAGTCCGATTCCCCCACGAAACCATCTCCGTCCAAGTCCATTCTTCTCAGCAGCTTGGAGGCCAGGCTCTCCGATCGAGCTTGCAAATGCTCACAACAGCCCTCCGCAATCTTGAGTGCAGTCGCCTTGTGCTTCTGCAGCCGTGGCTGGAGCTCCTGAACCACAGCTGAGACATCAATCAGTCGATCTGCTTCGTGGAGGAAGCTTTGCCCCAGGCGTACTTGCTGGAACAGTTTCACAACCAGAGATTGCGCCAAAAATTCCGGGAAGGCCACGAGGTGTGCCAACACCAATTCCTCGATCTCTTCCAAGTCAAGTCCTTGGTCCTGCGGAGTGTCACGGGCGAAGAACAACGTATCCCAGACGAGTCTGACAGACTCCGAGCACTGGTCTCCAGGGAAAGCCTCCAGCTTGTCCTGAAGCTCCTCGCGTTGCCCAGCAGCCAAGTCGTGCGCGCCGAGGGAACCCTGTAACGCAGCTTGGTGTGCAGCTATGGCGGCATCCTTGATGAAAGAGCGGCATTTGCCATGGGTCTCTCTCAGGAGGGCTCGCAAAGCCACTACCAGAGGATGTCGGCTGGGATCGTCCGTCTCAGATGACATTTTCTGGAGCGTCTGAGGCTGCAAGCACCCGCGATATCTACGCGCTACCCATGGCCTTTGGAGATTCTGCTCTTTCCCGTCATCCGTGCACTGCTAGATAAGCTTGGCTGCTTCGCTGTTGTGTCGCACTATGTCACATTCTTTGTGCTTCAAGTCCAGGCCTGGCACCGCCTTACAGGCCACACGATGTAGGGATGGAGCCAAGCCCACTGGCATTGAGCCACGACTTGAGCCGGAGCCGTTTGAGGGTTTCCAGATGGTAGGATTTGGGAGTATTGACTCCGACAGCCTGTGGAATCGGGTGAAGCTTCAGTTCGATTGCAGAACACTGAGTCGATGTCACACTTTTGCGTGGGATGGCCAATTCGTGGAACATTGCAGCTGGGGCCGGATTCAATGGCACAGCCCCTGTGAAACCTCAATAAACAAGCCCGGAGTTCACTCCGAATTGAATACAACCCTTCAGGGTTTCGAAGCTCCAAAGCGTCCGATCACAGATTTCAGCAAGCAGCTTCCTTAAAGCTTCTGTGTGGCCCAGCCGCGCCTTCCCTTCAGCCCTTCTGCCGCAACTGCTGCCAAGCTGCTGCTGAGCATCCCTGCTCACCGCACTTCCGCAGGAGGCCAGCTCCAGCGCATGCAGCACCTGGCGTGCCTGCTCATATGCTCATGGTGCTGCAGGGGACATCGGATTTCAAGCCATCCTGAACCCGAAGCTCCCCTAGCTGCAGTGGACGGCCTTTAACAAGGTGCGGAGGGTTCGGGCGTCGGACATGCTGCTGAGGCTTTGCTCCGCCACACCATGCCCGGCCTCTTCACCATGCCCCGTAAACATCTCTGCTTCGCAGAGGCATTGCCGGTGGCCAATGCACAATCTATGTCGTCCCTCGTTTATGCGGGTGTTCAGGAGTGTTTTTTCCGTCGAGGCTCGAGTCCCGATGACGCACTCCCGGCTTTCAGTGTTTTAGTTTAGAGAAGGCCATACTGATTGATGCTTCGTTCATGCTGTCCTGCACATGCCACGTGTTCTGAAGCCCTGGCATGCCAGAAGCCAAAAAGCAGCTGCAGGACGACTGCATGCTCGCGGAGGTGCCCTGCAAGAGCAGAATGGGTCGAGCCAAGAAGCTTCATGTTGGAAGTCCCGCTCGCCTCCTTGGGTTAGACCAGCTCTTCTACCCCGAGCCCCAGCTAAGCACAGCTACATTCACCGTGACTGAAACGTGATGTTTGGCCCCACTACTTACAAATCAAGGCTCGGTGCCCGCGGTGGAGATATGCTCCGAAACGTCAGAGGCCGGAATCAGCACTTCTGCTGCTGATACACAGTAATTTGGCACGAAGGCACACCTCAGTGAACACGCCAACTACATCAAATTTTGCAGAGGCCTTGTGGCCACTTCAGAAGCGGTGCATGGTGTTTGCTTAGGCTGCTGCTTGAACCGTGAACTGAAATACACTCCCATCGTTTCCTCAAAGCTCAAAGCCTTTCTCTGGGATTGGAGGCAACATGGGGCCTTGAGCTGCTGGTAGATTCCTGGTAACGCAACCCAGACACTTCAAGTATGCAGACGTCTCTGGATCGGCGTTGATCACCTGCATTGTGGTTGATGCTGCGTCCTAGGCCTGCCCGTTCACCTTTCGTCCAGCTCCAATGGTCTTAAACATGTCTAAGCTCTAAATCGGTCTGCGCTCCATGCGAATGCCAAATCTGCCAGCTGGCGCAGGTCCAACCCCTAGCAAGAGCAAACAAACTATGCTCAACTGTCTCGACAAACAAGACTAAATTCTCCTTCTGCAGACCTGCTTTTTTGCGTCTCTCTTTCCCTGCCCATACACAGCCCGGCCCTTGACACCTTGAACCTAAAGCATACCTAAAGCTTCCCCAGTCCCCTAGCCCCTCAACCTAGCAGAACCATCTGCCAGACAGGTCTTTGTGCACTCTATGCCGAAAACTTGAGACAGTAATATGGTTTTTCCTTCCAATCCCAAGATTCAAGTCGCAGAGATTCAAACCAGGCCGCTCATCTGCAGCAATCCCCGAAGAAGACAGCAGAACAGCTGATGCATGACAGGCCGTGGGAATCAGCGCCAGCTGTGCCAAAGCACTTGCCATATTTAGGTCCAATGGGTATTGACTCAAAGCGGTGTGGCTATCCAGGAAGTCTGAAGTGGCAAGCCTTAGCGACGTTGTTGATCAGCTTGATGATGATCTTTGCATTGACGTATGCCGAAGCTGCCTGCGACACACAGGTTAGGATGAGGTAAACTGCATTAAAGAGCACACGACGTATGTCATTGTACATTCGGCCGCAATTAGTCATCAGTCAGCGTCCAAACCTTGCCGCCAATGAGGACGACTCGCTTCTGACACCTCACACGAAGTGGGCTGTGGACTGGCCAACAGCAGATTAGAACCGTCGGACGCAGGATCCTTCTCAAAATTGGCCACTGCCTTGAAACTTACAGAAGTGTGAACTGGCGCGGACCTCACTTGGCTTGGTTTAGCTGAAGATCATGATGAAGGATCATACATCTGCTTCAGGCAAGCCACTGCTCTCTGTCGCCGGGCGATGCGCGTTTTAGCTCCAGGTAACGGTGGATGACAAACCTTCGTTCACCCGCTTCCGGCCACATCCACGCTAGCACCAACACTGGCCAAGGGGAAGCATGCAGCCTGACTCCGGAACGCATCAGCTGCCGGGCCACAAGATGTTAAGAAGCTGGCGCTTGTATTCGTGGATTCTCTTGATCCTTAGGCATGCACGACTGTAGGCCAGACCTCATCGTGGTAACCGCACGCGACCATCGATCATGCGAGCGCAAGGACTTTTCCTGCGTCACTTCCGCTGCTTCGCATCGAACCCTGCTTCGGAGGGACACGTGAATTCTAGAGGCTCAGCTCTGGCTGGAGCCTGAGCCAGCTACAGGCCGCGAACAAACATCAGCGGCTTTCAGCCTGCGCCGGGTCCCTCGTATGCCCACCGCAGACCTTTCCGGCCCCCTTTGGCATGGCTCTGGGCACGCCCTTGAACTTGGTTCTGCTCTTTGGACCGTTCTCACAGCTGGAGCTGTCCACGCGTCTCGCTTGACGTAGTCGCCGCCAGTCTTCATTTCACGCGCTGGGCTTTTGGTTGTATCTGAATTAGTGGTTCGGGCTTTGGGTCTTAGGCTTCGGCCCTGGGAAACGATGTACATGGCGGGTCAATAGTTACCAGCTTGTTTTCAACACCCCGGAGCCGGATCACAGCCGCGAAGCTCGCAAACGGAAGACACGATGTGCGTTCTCACCTTGAGTCGAAACGCACACAGCGAACTGGCACTCTCAGCCTCATCGCTGACAGCAGTCCTGTTCGACCCCGACTACTCTTTGCAGCTGCGCTGCGCAGGAACAGCCGCATCTTGTCGTCTTCCAGATTCAGGTTGGTCAACTGCTGCTGAATGGCCTGGGGCGGCTACCAAGAAACTATGACGACGAGTCACGGAACAGAGAACACCAAACCAGGTCCTGGTGCTGGATCATTGGGTAGTTGGAGCCGTAGAGGACTCGCTTGGCACCACGCCCGCGCATGTACTCTACGAGTGCATGTGGATAGCCTGGTCACGCAGGGGCCGGAAGATGCTGCACATGCAAAGGAGGTGTTGTCTAGTCTAAGGGGCCTTAGGCTTTCTTGATCGCCAACCTGTAAGCTTTCTCTAAAGCAGCCACAAACTTGTAAGACAAAAGGCTCTGCGGGTTGTGCAGAAACTGACGGTCCTGCGGTTCTTTACATGTCGTCGAGTCTCTTCTTGCACGGTTCGCCTAAGCCCTAAACCCGCAGCTGTCGCTGCCCAGCAGGGGCTTGTTGCTGCTGGATACACTGGCATGGGTTCAGGGGTCGAATGTTGCAGCACTCGATGCAAACTGGGCGGCGCGAGGGAAGATAGGCAGACGTGTCGATATACAGATTCGGGAATTTGCCAGCTAGAAAAAGCATCTCGTCCAACCATGGAGCACCTTGGCTTTTGTCTTATCGGTATTCTCCTAGATACAGCCTGCCTAAGAAGTGGAAAAGGCAATACCAGTCTTGCTTGCTCATCTTCCGCCCACTGGTAGCTGCTAGCTGAAGCATTCGGTGGAGCACCAATGTGTCCGGCCACCACCACAAGGTCAGGGAAATCCAGCAAAACCTGCTCCAGATACCTGCGCAATCCAAGTCGGTAAACCTGCCTCCTAACCGCTACTAGCCGCTTATCATCACAGCCAGGTAGTCTTTTCAACTTGGAAAATCCCGAAAACCAACAGGAAACGAGCGAAAACTTTCTCAGCTGTGCCAGGGGCACGGGATGGGCCGGCCCATATCACTCGGCCTCATGGGGCCCGTTTGCCCGACCTCAAAAAGTTGGAGGTGTAGGAGTTGTCAAGGCTCCAGGACTTCAGGATTACAGCGGTTCGGGGCGTCTCGTGTCAGCAGAAAACCTATTGCCAGTACCAGTAACGGTGCTAGCACCACTACTACTGCTGCTACTCCTACTACTCCTACTACTCCTACTACTACTCCTACTACTGCTACCACTACTCCTACTCCAACTACAACTGCTACGACGACGACGACAACTACTACTACTACTGCTACTGATACTCCTACTACTCCTACTACTCCCACCACTACTCCTACTCCTACTACTACTGCTACGAC